AACAGCACTTTAAGGTCACTATTTTACCCTGTTCACAAATAAGAAAACCCTCAAAAGGTTCAACGAAGATCAAACAACAACTAAGTTACTAAGCCAGGACTTGAAATTATTATACGGGCCTGGATCTAACACCAGCCATCTAATCAGAGCCTTAAAGGGCTTCTAAATCGTGTCTCACACTTATGTTTATTTTAAACAGTATCCACTGAACTCTAAAATGAAGATATTGCTTGATTATTTTGTATTTTGTGGAAAATCAGATTGGGGGAAGAATAAGTCACTTTTCTGAACATTATGGCAGCACCAGGGCCCAACAACTGTGTTTAGTCTCCGAAACTGCTAGCTTCTGGACACCCTAGCAGCAGAATCTGTACTATTTAGGACAAGGCTTCTCAAACTTTTCTCTGTAGTAACATATACAAGACGGATTATGAGCATAAGCTCTGGAGTAAACTGCCAAGGTTCAAATCCTGACTGCTACTTACTAGCTGCATGATCTTGGGCAAGTTACTTAGCTCCTCAATTTCTCTGTTTCCTCATCTGTAAAATGGGGATAATTATAATACCTCAAAGAACTACTGTGAAAATTAAAAGAGCTTAGATATATAAAGTGCTGAGAAAAGTAATATGCTCTCAAATGTTAACTATTAATAGTCTCAAATTTCAATACTTTAACAAATAATATACACACCTTAAAGCAAATATAAATGCACCACTGTATCATAATCCCAGGAATAGGAGCCACCCTTTGTATTGGCAGTTTATCTTTAATTGAATTGATTTAACTTAAAAATTTATATGGAACTAAAATTCAGAAGAATTGAACCAGGAGAAGAAATTTAATTCCCATAGTTACTGCCACCTCCTACCTTTTTATTTTGGACTTGAAGCACTCTAGTCAATCCTAAGAGCCAAAAAAGAATGGAAAGGAAACCAGACTCAAATCTTTTAGAGATTCATAAATCACATCTACCTTTTTAATTCTCCCCTGAAATCAGAAGCCAGAACAGTCCATAGAATATTGTGCTTAAATCCCCTATGCAAACATGCCTGATGTACTCTGTCTGCAGAGACACAAGCTTCTGGGTGGTCTACACAGGGTAAAAGTAAGCCAAAATCATAGCAAACAGACATGAGCGACCATTTACTTCTCAAATAATTACAACAAACTTTCTATGTTTTTAAGTGCTGAGAGCTTATCAACTGCTTCAGGAGAGCAAGGAAATTGTCTATCTTGTTCATCACTGTTTCCCTAGACCTGGTACAATCCTGGCACTCAGTAGGCCTTCAATAAATGTTTGCTGAAAAAAATAAACCAAATATTAGACAAATTAATATTACTTTCAGCAAAGATGATGACAAAAAGATGAGAAAGAAACTTGTCTGTACTGTAAGGAGGATGTTAAGAATGTTGGATATTTATGAATTGTTGGAGGTTATTCTTGATAGTGCTAATTTTACATCTAAGAAGATACATAAGCATAAAAATCTTTTAATGGTAAATTATCAAGGATGTTAGCCAAAATATTTAACAACTAATAATAAAAAGTTAACATGTGTTTATGGATATTCACACTTAAATCAAAACCTAAAAATATATTTCTTTCTGATCTCTATATTAAAACTGCTGTCAAGTAATTTAAATTGAAATTCAGACCACTCAAGTCATTCCAATAATTCCCAAATCAGCTTTTAATTTTTAGAAATTGTTGGTGTAATCTTTGGTTTGCTGCAACTATCACTGGCTAAACAATGCACTAATCTAAGTCACAGTTTGATCTAAGATCCACACCAAACTCTTGTAACAGCTTCTCCATTAAATTCAGTGTTATGACTCCCCAGCTCCTTATGTTTGTTACATTCAAGACAGATCAGAAAAAAATTTGAGCATGGTGATCAGGTATGTTCCTGGACATCAGAGTCTGGACCAAGGACAGAGAGCACCCATGACGACTGTAAGGCCACCAAACCACCTACCTACCACACCACTGAGTTTGGGGCCACCTTGGAGCAGAGGGCAAGTGCTGCATCTCCACAACCATCATGACCACCCTCGCTGCCTCAGTACCCTCAGCAGCTCTGGAGGACCAACTGTGTCCACACCAGCACTCTCCTAGGCCCTATTGCTCTTCTCCACCGGGCAACAGCATTGGGTGACTTGTAGTCCCAATAAGTAGAGGATTTCTCTTTACTCAATAATACAGAAGAATTTTAATGTTTAAAAAACAGGTTTTAGGACGCCTGGGTGGCTCAGTTGGTTAAGCGACTGCCTTCGGCTCAGGTCATGATCCTGGAGTCCCGGGATCGAGTCCCGCATCGGGCTCCCTGCTCAGCAGGGAGTCTGCTTCTCCCTCTGACCCTCTTCCCTCTCGTGCTCTCTCTGTATCTCATTCTCTCTCTCAAATAAATAAATAAATAAATCTTTAAAAATAAATAAATTAATTAAAAAATAAAAAAAAAAAACAGGTTTTACACCACAGCTATGTACCAACTGAAAATCAGCCCTGAATATTACCAACATGGGATGATAACACTATGTTGAAACATCTTTGACACAAATGAATCATTAATCTGTTCATCTGGAAGACAGTTTGAGTGGTTATTCAAAAGGTATCCATTAAAAAGAACTTCAATGTATAAGTTACTAGGACCATAGGAACAAACTAATGCCAATTAGGGTAACAGAGTAGCTAAAGAAAGTGGTCAGGGAAGGCTTGTTTGAGAAGCAGAAATCTGAGCAGAGATTCAAAGGAAGTGAACAAGAAAGCCATGTAGATACCTGAATGAAGAACATTCCAAGCTGAGCTGCAGAAGAACTCCAAAGGCCCTGAGGCTGGAACATACTTGGCATGTTGAGGGATGGCCAGGTGGGCAGTGTGGTGGGAAAGTAATGTGTGAGGGGAGATCAGTGGGAGACGAGTAGGAAAGCTACAGACAGGCAGGTCACATATGGCCTTGAAAACAATGGTAAGGAATCTGGATTTGACAGTAGGTGTGATGGATGGCTGTGGGAAGGCTGTGAGCGGGCTGTGAGCAAACAAATGACATGTCAGATTTACATTCTGATGGGGTTACACAAGAAACTATGTATCTGTATATCTTTTGTGCATCTTTTAATATTTTTTATTATTTTTAACTCTTTGAATCCTCTACTCCGCTGTGTCAGATGCTGCTTTGAGACTGAGTAAAATGAATCTTGATAACTGAACACTGGATTTGGCAATATGGTGGCCATTCGTGATCTTGACAGAGGAAATTGCCGGGAAGTACTGTGGAGGGGAAATCCTAACTGAAGTGGAGTCAAGGGAAAATTGGAGCAGATGATTGCAGAGATAGCAAGTATGGACAACTCTTTCAAGTTTGCTGTAAAATGGAGCAAAAAATAAAACAAGTTGGAGGAGCATGAGGTGTTAAGGAAGGAGATGTTACATTCCATTTGTATGTTGACCAGGAAAATCCAGTAAAAAAGATTTTCTGAAATGATGATCTAGGAACAGGGTAGGGTATGTGACAGAGGTCAATCTATGAGGGAAGTGAAATGGAGAGGACCTAGTCTGCAAAGGTGAAGAAGTTGGTATTAGATAGTAGCAGGGACAGTATGTCTCTTTTTAATACAAAGGAAGGGAAGAAAAAATGTTGGTACAGATGTACAAAGGCTGGTAATTTGGTGATGGGAAGATATGAAAGTTTTCTGATGGCTTTTATTTTCAAGAGTCATATACAAGGAAGGCATGTCAAGACTTAAAAGAGCTGTTACCATGATGCTGGAGGGCCAGGACATTAAAGTCTGCCTAACTGAAGTCATAGGGGTGTGTGGGGTGGGAGGAACAACACTATGTGACTCTGATTAATTATTAAATGATGTCATATTTTAGGGGCATAAGAAAGTAGAAGTATAAACAGTATATATCACACACTCAAAAATTCAGCAAGCATAAACTCCTCAGGTGATTTTAATTCTCTAGTTCTGGGATGTTACAATTTTTACTTATACTTAAATCACAATGACAGACTAGACACCTGTTTTTCTGGTCACATAATTAAGCTTACATCTCAGTATTACCACTTAGCTTACTATTTTATGATCTGAAAATTAATCTTATAAGGTCAAAAACTCAAATACAGCTATTGTGGTTTTTTTTATAACTTCATTCTACTTTTTTTCCAACCTACTAAGGAGAATGTTTACCTATGTCAGTTTCCTGATCATTCTCCCTGAATTTGGGTGTGGCCAGACTATCCTACTAGCAGCATTATATCTACCTCGTTAGAGAACAATAAAGTTGACCTTTGACAATATGCACATGTCACTATCAGAAAGTGTTTTTTCTTCATTTATTTTAAGGATTATGTTTGTTCTCTATGCATATAAATAATTGATACATTATTAAAATTTGAGATGATCTACCCAATCTTCAGTAGAATGACAGCTAAGAGTAAATAAATCAACATTTGAAAATATTTTCTACAATTGTATTTAATCTCAATTTCTGGTAATACTTCAAGTTTATTTCTTAACACTCATTTAAAGAAACCTAAAACTAAACTGTCTATGATAATTTCATGTATTGTTGTACAGTTTTCCTTCCACTGGTTCATCTGTCAACACCTCTCCCACAAATTAGAGCCCTCTTATGCAGGATTATTGTAAATACTGACATCTGCACATTTCTAAAAAGTACCCAGGTGTACAGTTCTCGATGTCAGCATAATTTCTCCAATATCTTTGGTTAGATGTAGTTGTTTAACAAAACAGTGCGTGTTAAAGATGTATTTACCCGTTACAGCATCTAACGAATTAACGAATTGTAATTGGTAATTTGCTTGTTTGTATTCCACTCTAGATGAAAAACTCTATGAGATCAGGGACTGTGTCCATCTAGCTCATCTTTGTATCCTCAACTTGACATACAGTAAGAGTCAATAAAATATATGCTGAATCAGTGAAAGTCCCAGAACCTTAGAGAATGGTTAGGAAGACCCATAGCAATCCCACTTACCCGTGAGATCCAGACTTCTGTCTACAAAGACCACTGATGCCCTGCCTGTGGCAGTCTTCCTCCTGTTCTTGGCAGGGCCATAATTAGCCAGATCTGCAGCGATGATCCGACTGAGGGAACCTACAGCAAAACACTCCTCCCGCACCCCTAAATGCTCACACAGAGAACTGAGGCCTGACACCAGGCACCTGATCTGCAGAAGCAGCTCAGGGGGCAGGGTGGTGGCATCCACCTCAGTCAGGCTTCCTAGCCTCCTCTTGTCTGGTCGGGCACTGTTAAGGAGATGCACATCCTGGGGTAGCAGTGGAAAAAGGGAAGCAAAGGCTGGAGTCAAGGCAAGGTGGGGAGCAACAGGTGCGAGCAACAACGGGACGTGCAGCACCTCGGCGGTGTAGTTCATATTGCCCATCCACTCACACAGTTTCTCCTCCAGTTGCTCGAACACCGGCTGCCCTTCCAGCTCCGCCGCGGCAGCCGCCGGCACGTGATTAGCGGTGAGGTGGACAGCGTGGTTCACGGCTGTGACCACCACACAATACTGGAAGTGACTGCGGCAGATGATATCCCGCAGGGTCTCCACGGTCCGGCCTTTCAGCAGGCAGCTCAGCACAAATACTGCCTTAGGCTGCTCGGCTCCACCACCGACAGCTGCGGGCTCGAACTCCCGCAGGTGACACGCAGGCCCTCCCACGGCCTCCAGGAGTCGCGTGGATCCGCAGCCCCAGTGCAAGCTCTCCGCGCAGGCGGCGTCCAGATAGACCAGAGCCCATTTCACTTTGGCCAGCACCTGCTCCCAGCCTTGCTGGGTAAAGGAGAGCACTCCCGGAGCGCTCATGATTGGGGGTTCGCAGAGTCGGGACACTAGAGTACAGGAACTTCTTTTAGAACTCACAGCTTCCGGGAATTGGGCTCCTTGACGCTTTGACAGTCAACACAGTACACGTGGTACTGCCTCCGACTTGTCCAGTGTCGGCGCCCAGTGATGACGTAGACGGACCGTGATTGGCTAGCGAGGAGAACCCGCTGAAGGACGGTGGGGCTGGGAAGAAGTGGGCAGGGCTCCGTCGCTCCCGCTAAGTGGAAAGGTCTGTGAATAGCTCAACTGTTTTCTTTTCCTCTCCTTCTCTATGCTCGGATTACCTTTCCCTGCATCTTCAGAAATCTCGGGAATAGTAAAAGCTATTCCGAAATTTAATATTTTCCTTGGATCTGAACACATCTCTAAAAGTCGTTCTGCCCATCTAAACTAAGAGACGCCAGAGAAGATAAAAACAAACCAAGTGATACGTAATGTTTTGTAGTTTATAAATGGCTGTCTCATACGTTATAGCGCTCAAGCCTCATGAAAAACCTACTGGTCTCGTTTTCACTTTCTCAATCTTCCCTCATCTCATTGGCACTAAACTTTCATCTACTTCAAAAATCCTAGAATCCAGCCCCTTCGGCCCTTCCATCCTTGCCATCACTGGCTTAATCCAACATCATCACTCAACTGGGCAATAGCAATGATCCCCTATCATTTCCCAGCCTTAATCTCTTCTCCCACCAATTCAGTTTTCTTCCTAATGTACCAAGCTGGCCCTACCATTTTCCAGCTTAAAAGCCTCTCCTGGTCCAGTTGCTTGCAGGATACAGCCTGACTTCTTATAATGGCACCAAAATCCTTCACGATTTCTCAATTTCTCTCCACCTAATCCCTGCCTGGAACATTATATACCTGCACAATTAAGTCAACAGATTGAGCACAGAATGTTTCACAGGTTTACTTCAATTCAACCACTATTTATTAAACAGTTACTAAGTATAGTCACTGACGTAGGCTCCAAAGGCACAATGGTTAATAAATTCCCTGATCCATGAAGAATTTTCACCTTAGCTAAGTACTTGCCGTATCATGAGGTAAGTTTTAACATACCCGTTTTCCTACAAGATTGTGCACTAGAGGCCTGGTTTCTCCAACACTAGAAAATATGCAAGTATTCAATAAATGTTTGTTGACTAAATGATCAATAAATCTTCAATTTATATCCATATAATAAGTGATATATTCAACTTTTAATATACATGTACAATATTGCAGACACTGTGTTTGGCATTGAGAATATAAATAGAAATAAGGCACAGTTTTGCCTTCAAAAGGATCTGAAATAAAAGACCCACACATGTAAAGAAAGCAAATGCGATATAATGTTACAGAAGCAATAATTTGTTTAATGGATAAGAGTTACAAAGGAGAGGGCGCCTGGGTGGCTCAGATGGTTAAGCGTCTGCCTTCAGCTCAGGTCATGGTCCCGGGGTCCTGGGATCGAGTCCCGCATCGGGCTCCC